TTTATTTATACAAATTTTAAATATATGATTTATTTTTATAAATAATTTATTATAAATTTTAATTATATATAATAAACAATGAATCTATGTAATGTAAATACTAAAATACTAAATAGGATTTCATTTAAGTCTTTGAATTGACTAATTTGCTAATAAATTAATATTTATCCTATATAATACATATATAAATATTTTATTATGGTTAAATTATAAGATGAAAATATATATAACTCAAATAGATGTAATATAAAGATGGTTTAAATATATTTTTAGTATGGGTAAAATAAGCAAGTTTTGATTTTAACTTATGTAAAAATATTTCTTTATTTTTCATCCTTCTAAATTTTGTAAACATTGTTTTTGATCCATATAAGATGAATAAAATTTGGTTTTCACAACTTTTTAAAAAAAAATTAATTTCATCCCACTAAAATTTAAAATCATTAATTTTTATCCTTAATGATTCTTTTAAAATGATCATTATTTTTAAGATATATAAATAACACCTATTTTAAAGATTTATAAAAGATTATAGAGGTATCAGATGATAATGAAGTATCACATGTTATTATAGGTACCACTTGTGATAGTCACTTGATTTTCTAACGAATACATAAATAGTTAAAAAAAAAATACATAATAGTAGAAATTAAAAATGTAATTTTGAATTTTTAAGAAAAAAAAACAAAGAAAAAATATTATATGATCAAAATTAAAACTTATTTTGCAGAGACTAAACATATCCAAGCCCATAAAAATTGATTTCTCACATTGGTTTAACCTACACAATCCATGCAGGACTTTCAAGAAGTGCCAAATATGGCTTAACGATAGGAGTGGGAATACCTGGACTGCTGTGTTTAACTGGGCTTTGCTGCTTTATGTGCAGTAAATTTGACGTGTACGCACATCGCCACCGGGCTGGGCCCAGCAACGAGCTTCCGAGCTCGATTACTACCTTCCCACCTCTGTCGTTCACAATGGGCCTGAATGGGCCAGAAATTGAAAAACTCCCCAAAACTTTAATTGGTGACAGTGGGCGGTTACCGAATTCGAACGATAACACGTGCCCAATATGCCTGTCAGAATACGAGCCCAAGGAGACACTGAGAACCATACCCGAATGCAACCATTACTTTCATGCACACTGCATAGATGAGTGGCTCAAGATGAACGCCACGTGTCCCTTATGCAGGAATTCACCCGATCCATCTTCTACTGTTACCCCTTCTTCTTCATCTTTATCAATTTATTCCCCTTTGCCATAGATAATCAGTGAACACAAGTGTTGTCAAGCGTTGGTGTCTCTTCTGTAATATACATTTTTTTTTATAAATGTTTTACTACTTCTATATGTGGCTCTTCACCCATTTTTCAATGTCAGGCGACATCATCATTCGAATCAAGAGTGGCGTACATAAAATGCAATGAAACATTAATTTATATGAAAAAAAAATTGCACTGAGACATTGAAACACGATGTTGGAAATAGTAAAAAAAGAATAATCATCAAAAGTTTGAAGTAACAAAATAAACAAAAGAAATAAATTTAGATTATAAAAAATATATTATGCAAAATAGAGTCAATATGTTTTTAATTCTTAAAAAATATGATGTCATGTTTTGTTTTCTAACTTTTTAATATATGTCATGTACAAGACTAAAAGGACAATATTTGTAGTACAAACATCTAACTCATTTTCATAAATTAGAGGGGAAAAAATTACTCAATTTGTAAGGTTTAAAATCATATATAATCATTAAAATTTAAAAAAAAAAACAAAACAAAACAAAAAACTAAACATTTAAAATGACAAATAATGAAAGTATTAAAATATTAAAAGTTAATCTTGCTAAAAAGGGCAAATGCCTTGTTGTCAATGTTGTGTTGGGTGTGATTGTCAGTCCTTCACTTTGACAACGAAGACACTTGTAAAAAAAATTGTGACGCTTCATACAAATACTGAATCTCTCTTGTCAACAAAATATATTTTGTAATAACTAGGATGATTAATAAAAATAAGGTGATTATCTCATAGCTTTTAAGTTTGAAAGTTATGTAAAAAAAAAATTATATCCATAAATAAAATCTGTTATAATAAAAAACATATATTATAAATAGGTATTTATAAATAACGACTACAAGTATTTTTTATACTTATATGGTAAAAAAAATGGATATAAATTTATATAATATTCGTATTTACAAGGACTCACTTATATTAAATTACAAAAATACCTCGTATATGTTAAAGCTAGAGGTGTTCTCATTGGTGAAGATACCAAAATCTTTTTGTGATTAAAATATATTGAATTAAAATATTTTGTAACAACTATGGTAAACAAAGGATAAGATGGTTATCCTACATAGACCCATGTTTGTGGGATAGTAATTATATCATTTGTCTCATATATTAGAAGGCAGTTTTTTTTTACCAAAGCCCGTCAACTACTGTAACCAACTCACTGCAATTTTTTGGGAGACCTCTTTCTTGGCAAATTCGTACCAGTCGAGTTTGACAGTACATTAGCTTCCCAGGTCTAAGCTTGAGCAAAGGAGTCAATCCGAATATTGTGATTTTTTGTTTTCTAATTTTTTAACATATAAAATTTTGTATAAATTCTATAAAAATTAATTTAAATTAATATAACAAAGTATCAAATAATTTTAAAGTTTTATAAAAATTTATATTGAAATAGACATTTATATAAATTAAATTAATAATAAATTATTTTAATATATATTAATATACATAACTATTTTATAATATAATAGAAGTCATATATTTAAATATAATATATATATATATATAAATTATTATAAAATTTAATTATGTATAATAAATATTTAGTGAGTTCACTTACTCTAGATATTAAAATAATAGTAAGAATGACAAAAATAAAAGATACTCTTATCAATACAATAGTAAAAAAAAGTAATAGTGAGAAATAAAAATACAAATAATCTAACTCAACTACACAATGGTCTAGAAAAGGAGAAAAATGATAATTAAAACAAAGTAATCAATAAGAAGTCACCTCCCTTCCTTAAGTTTGAATGATTTGATAAATATTTTATTGTACTGTGAAATTTACTATCTTATAATCAGTAAACAACATGGGGGTGTAGCTCATATGGTAGAGCGCTCGCTTCGCATGCGAGAGGCACGGGGTTCGATTCCCCGCACCTCCATTTATTATTTTTGATAGTCACAAAAGTAACCTAACTTTTAGTCTTTTAGATAGATTGGTTTGTTTACATTTTGATATGCAAGTTTGGAAATATTTTATTTTCGTCTTCAATCTATTTCAAAATTAATAAAATAGCTGAGTCATGAACCCTTAAAACTATCAAAGTTGTTTGACTAATAGAAGATAATTATTTCACATTGTGAAATCAAAATATTTACAATTTTTTTAGTCATTCATCCAATTTTCTTTGAATTTGTATAATATGCATCTTGGAATATGATCTAATTGTTTTATGTCATAAATTCAATCATTATATTCTCTTCATTATTTTTGGCCAATATTTATAAAACTATATAATATTTTATTTTCCCTAAGTTCGTGATTAAGATTGATGGACCACCTCTTATAACAACACTATAACATGTTTGAGATTAAATTAATAAGTTTTGAAAAACATGTTATGGATAAAAATAATAGGTTTTAAATTACTGAATTTTAAATAATTACATGTTATGGATAAATAATAACAATTGCATGGTTGGAAAAAAAATGTTTAGAGAACAGTCATATTATAAAAATATTTTGTTAAACAAGAGTATGTGATTAACATGGTAGATGGGAGGTTGAAGGAGCAAAACCATAAAAAAAAAATTGAAAATTTATCAAATCCAAACACCAATAGTATAGATATTTAACTATACTTAAATATAGTTAGAGATGTTAAATAAGTTCGATCAATTTAACTTAGTTTTTTATTAATTATTTATTTTGTCATACTGAATTAACTTATCTTATTTTATTTAAGTTTTACAAAAGTAAATTTATCTTAAATTTAAAATAAAAATATATATATTTAAACTTATATAATACGCGTGATCTCAATATCAATTATTGTCCTAAGTCTTCCACTGACCACATCATGTCTCTTGTAACTCGAAAACCATGTACTTATTTCTAATTCAATTTGGAGTTTTTAGGCACTTCAAAATTCTGATGATCTTGTATTCTTATTCAGTTGCTGATATATACGTAGAGTCGTTTCCCAGCTTAATGATATAGTTCTTTCGTGACTCCAAAAAAAATAGCAGCATCTAGTCATCTCAGCATTTGAATATGAATCTTATAACAATTAACAAACAAAATTGCATTGTATATAAACAAGAGTACGTTGCATCTAAAGCCAATATTAATGGGTTGCCACCAAAAAGTGAAAGCGGTTCTACACTCAGTCAAAGGTAAATCAAGGTAGGTCCATCCACCCATAATAACACAAGATTGTAATCTAAATTATCTTCATGGTTTAATTATTAATCTTTTGAGTACTTTTGATGTTTCTTTTTCTTCCAATTTTTAATAATTTTTATACTTAAAAACCCTACAATTAAATTTTAAAAGAGTTTATGTTTTTAGATTTTACACCTTGTTTTTATGACAGCTTTAATTTATACTACCAAAAACTAAATATAAGAAGTAAACATTGCAAAAAAAAGTGGATAGATATGGAGACAAAAAATTAGTTAAACATATATTGATTGCCGCCTAATAAACATTGTTGATGTTGTTCTTATCTTTATCTTTAAGAGACGAGTCTTTCTTTGCGTTATCCAAATCCTTGACCGATCAACTACCACAACATAATTTATTGCCATCAGAAGGACACAACAAGAACTAAAGTATACTGCACTTTCCCAGAGATATGGATCGAATATTAGAAATTACACGAAAACCGATATTTGAACCCACTTTTGCTTTAAACTAACACAATAAAGAGCGCAATGAAATGTTTGACATGCTTTATATCAGTGTTGCGTAACACTAACACGTAGTTCTCATAAAAAAGCAGAGTTCCTTAGTTAAATGCTATCCTTGAAATGTTCTGGACTGTATTATGTAGATAAGTGACTAATGAATCACAAGTTTGCGAATAGCAAATTTGCAATTATTGATTCTTCTAGTCTTAATATGGTAGGTCCAGAGATAATTGAAATGCTTAATTATTCATTTGTACAATAATTCAAGTTTGTCAAGACTTATGACCTCACCTATTATTTCATTTTCCTCGCAATACAAGGACACATATTTATCTTTTATAATATGATATTTTAGCATTCATGTCGGTGGATTAGGTGTTCACGAAACTCTCACTCTCACCTTGGTCAAAGCCAGACCTTTGTTTTCTAAGAAAAATGTATTAATAAAGAAAACATTAGATGAATTTTGTCTAAAATCACTTTCTTAATTATAACATTATAATGCATTCATTTTTAAGATTTTGGAAAGGGGGCAAGCAAAAAGGTACATGCATGATGATGAATTTGGGTTCCCTGTCGGTCACGTTAAATTTTGATGCAATGATTGTTTAGATGATTCCATGCTTTGTTTAATTTTTGATTCCTTATGATTTTGTTTTGGTTGAATGAGCCATTAGTCAGTGCTTGCATTCACCATGTTCCTTCCTTGTACAGACACGGTGGCATAAGTGCCCCACTCTCCTTAATGGGCTCCTTAGTATTGTTTTCCTTCCCTTTTAGGTAATTTTAAAAGTTGATGTGTGCATAAATTAAGAAATAAAGTCTAATTTATATTTATTTCCATAAAAGAAATTCATATTCTCACGTGGTTGTATTAGTGCATAAAATAGTTTTATTAAATGTTTATGAAAAAACATTTTATACTTATATTATATATAAATTATTTTTAACAAATATAAATAACTTTTTTTTTTTATTTTAGTAGAATTAATATTATGTTTTTTGTAATATATTGTTGATTATTTTTTGTTATTTAATTATAATGTACTGTAGATGCATAAAATAATTAAAATTTAAAGTTAAAAAAAGTTATTAATAAAAAATTAATTAATATTGTTTTTAATTTTTTCGTTATTAAGCAGATCATAGAGGGTTGGTAATTAATATTATGTTATACTTAAAAATAATAGTAAAAATTAATAATTTTTCTTTATTATAACAGTTTTTCATCATTTTTAATTTGCAACATTATTATAACAGTTAGTGGAGGTAGGTAAAGTAAAAGGGATTAGAGGAATGAGAAGGAGACAGTTGCCTAAATCCTTATTATGATTGAAGACTGTTATAAGGACAGCGACTGGGGTATCTTGGAAGGTATTAGGTACTTCTTAGTGATCAAAATTAAACTCTCTCAAACAAAAACCTGTTAGTTAATTTACAAAATCGATAACCTACTGAAAATTACAAGTTAGAAATTTTGATTTGATTTTTAAATTTTTAAAATCATGTAACTTAGTTTGATTTTTTAAATTAAAATGTTAAATAAAACTTCCCTTATTTGTAATTTTTTTAAATGTGTAATATATATATATATATA